GAATCTCAAATGCATAACACTTTCTCATACCCGGAAAATCTGCACCGCATCACTTCATGATACCGCAGCAAGAAACCTTGCGGTTACGAACGCTTCAGTTCGATCAGTTTAGCTCTTCCATCAGCTATAAATATCTGTATAGCATGAACTGCGTATGAGCCACAACAGATATATTCATTACTAATTATTAATTTATCTTTAAGTGCAAATTCATCTTTTGAGAAGTTAGAATTCCTACGCCACGTATGACTCTATAAGTCATTTTTTCACTAGATTGCTGCAACCGGATGCATGGACATAGGTTTTACCATTGAAAGTTGCAGTCCACAGGACTTCTCTAGATGTCACATTTTGCTCAGACACCGACGACTCTTTGGAACTAAGATCTCTCGGGAGATGATAGGGAAGCAGTGAGGTCCACGATTCAAAAGAAATATTGAAGGCCATTTGGTGGGTCGGTGAAACTTTGTGGCCAGGGGTGGAATGATACTAATGCCGAAGGTGACTAGGCTATACATTGTATAGGTTCTAACATGCGTTCATCAAAAGTATACCAACAATCATGACAAATACATACGTGCTAGGATTACATTTCTATCCTAGGCTCCGATTGTGGATTCCCCAAGAAAATTCACCTGTCTTGGCCTGGGGAACCCGGCAGTATTCAGCCCACATGCCAGTCGTGGAACATATGTTTTTTTATAAAAATTATTCTACCGTGATTTGTTTGGCACACAGTCTGAACTCAGAAGTGTGACATATATATATTTCTGCCTTCGTAGCAGAACACCTTCCATGTAAGCTTCTTTAACTTTCTGTTGACTTTTGATTTATTCCAAGTTCCCTATAAATAACCCGTAAGTTCATTTCAGGCCCGTTTTTACCAACAACTGTACACTTTCTTGCACCGGTTATGGTCACTGTCTTATGATCACCGTTTGGATTCAGAAGTTAAGGGAACACTAGAATACTCAAGTAATTTTCAGAATGAACATAGATTGTAAAGAAACTGATAGCATAAACGAGTGCAACCTTGCTTGCTGGGTCTCTAGAAATTCCCATACGAGAGCTTCGGTTACGCTCTCGGGTTGGATCAACGCCCCACTGCAATCTGTATCGGACTTTTGAGTAAAAAGCACCGATCGGGGCTCCCAAAGAAAACCCCATTAGTCGATGTGGGATACTGTAAAGTATTTCATTCCTGAAAGTCTCGATCAGTCATTTAGAAAATCCTCTTTCTCATCGCTTGTAAAGAACAGAGTTATGCTTTCGCTTGTACACTCTGTCGATTGTATCCATTACGAAACTGGGTACTTCATGAAATTCCCGAATGCACTGTCTTCAGAGGCGATAATTCAATTGAAGTCCTGCAGTTGGAATTTTTAATAGAATCAATAGGTATCACTGATCAAGCCGTAAAGGAAAGGCATCCGTATACTTCAGTTCGGCACCCCATGCAAAATTTAAACGTGCGAGAGACAAATGTATCACACAAATGAGAGCTCCCTATAATTTACGATAGTCATTCGTAAACAAGCTACTCGTATTACTAGGTCTCTATATCGGGTTCTCCTTGAATTAGGAACCAGATGTATGGCGGCTTGTACTTTTACTATCTTTTCGTGTCTTCCCAACATATAAGGTTACGTGAGAGAAACTTTACGGCCCAGCCTGGGGAAAAAAGGACTGAAAAATATATGGCAGGCATTGTAGGAAAAATTCCAAAAGGATTTCCAAACAGTCCTCTGTATATTTGTAAAGAAACTCTGTCCGCTGCAATCTGTATCACGAGTGAAAAAGAGAGCATAAAGCTGTGATAACTTTTACTCAAAATAATCCAGCAAATGGTATCCTAAAGGCGAAGCATGCAAGGAACGGCAAAGCCATGTCACTCAAGTGCTCGTGAATCCTTCAGTGGAAAGTTCCACTTTTTCCGGTCAAGTGAACTAGACTGAATTGAAGAACAAAAAGATGTGAGAATAATGATGCTTCCCTATTATCAGATTTTCGCGTTGGATTTCAGTACCTCACGACCATGGGGTGAAACAACCAGTTCAATTCAGTACTTAGAACTATAAAACGTATGGTGCTGACAATGAGAATGAAAGTATAAAATTCATTTTAGGCCTCAGTAAAACAATATAAGCTTGCTAAATTATACGTATCCTTATTAAACTGGGATACGAGAAGGTTGATGATGAAATCTTTATAAAATGCGTTCACAACAGATTTGTAAAATTCCGTCACACAAATAAAATTAATTAATTGTTTTTTCTCCGGTGTTGAAGAAAATACATAAGTTTTAAGGTGAAACCATTTCGTAACATCTAAAAAGATGCGACTGTTACCAAGTACTTCAATTAAAACATAACTATAATTATATCAAAATTTATGGTGAACTGGAGCACACTGATAACCTGTGTATCGTGCTCATAATTTCGAAAGCGAAGTGCATCTTTACTATTATTTTTGATAAGGAAGCAAAATAACAGATCTGCTTCTAAAACTTCTCAGCTAAGATTGAACCGAAGTCAAATTTTTACGTGTTTTGGTTAGTCTGGATGCAGATAACTCTAGGACTGACAAGACGTTAGCTAGGGCAACATTGTACTTTGCTCTTGGAACGATTATATTCACCCACTTCCATTGCTCTGCTTTTTTATTTTCTCCTCAGGTTTTGATGCTTCTTCTTATTTACTCCAAAAATAATTACAATCGTCTTAATAATAAGTGTTTTAAATTTTCAATTATTTGATCCCAATGGGTGGTTTTGCCATTCCCACTAGTCTGCTTTGGTACCAAGCTTGCTCGCAAGCCGGTGATATATATAT